GATATTGATATAATAGACACTTAAAATAAACAGATGGGCAGACGCGGCAGTGAAAGACACAGGCATGGATCGAGAAAGGCAGGCAGGAGAGGACTAAGCGGCAAAGGAACCAGAGCAAACAAAACAGTGCCAGAGACTTTCCCAGAATGGGGAACTAGCAGAAAAACTAGCAAACGAAATAATATGAACTTTAGATTGTATACTAGCGTATCGAAAGCTAACGAAGAATGGAGGATTGCAACGCTAAGATATAGGCACATTAGAAAAAAAAAAGAGGGGTACTCCCGCTATTTGACCATGGTTGACGATGGGTTGTAGGGGTTTCTCGTTGCTGAGACAGGGTTCCTTTGACAGTGATTTTCTCATTTAGTGGGTTTGCACATCGATTTGGGCATCCGAAGCTGAAAGGATGGCAATGATTCTTCGAATCGAATGTAACCACAAAACGGAGAAAAAGTGGCGGACACACTTCTGGGAATGGGCAGGAAAAGCCGTAAAGCCCTGGTGGGGCTGTACACTGCAGACTTTGGCATCACATGCACAGGATCGCATAAGCCCAAGATTCTGAGTGTCCCCTGTGCATGGAAGAGGATGAAACTGCAGAAAATGTCCTATGCACGTGTCCGACAACAACCAGAATCAGGCATGTTGTATTCGGGGAGTCAGCTGTTCGGCCCGAATACATGAAACATGCTTTCCTCATACGCTCGTTTCTACCATCATCAGAAGGCTGGACTGATGGGGGACGTATAATCTCGGAGTGAGCCACAATAGACCGCAGGCCGCTATGGAAGGGCCGACATCAGGCTACTTACAGAAATCCTAACCCAACTGTTATAATCATGTTCACAAATAATTATGTTTGAGTTGTTTTCTTTTGCATTCAAGTAAGACTGAAAATTATATCTTATCTGAACCCAAAACCTTCAGCGTGAAAGAGTAACAATACTTAAATCAAAACATTGATTGTTTCACTAATTAACTTTTTTTTATTCTTATTTTTAGATCTACCATCAAAACTTCATCTAATAAATAATTCTCATTGCAATATAGATTCAGAGCATTTGTCGACCACCATCAATCAATAAACAACTATAGGATATAGAAATTATATCGTCGTCAAAAATGACAATCTGCAAAGATACAAAGGGCAATAACAAAATCGTACAGAGGAATAAGTCACAAGTGAAAATATATTTTGTTTGAGAAATGTATCTGTCCTAAAAGAAAAACCGCTTTACCGATTAAAATAATTGGTGTCCGATACATATGAGTGTGTACGGTATATCGTTTCAAAATTTATTGAACTTGAATGTATTATTTCCAACGTATGTCTTTATTGCAGAACATTCCTTAAGCACATCAAGCGTCCTTATTTTTATCGACCATATGCTTATAAACATTTTCTTCCATGGAATCCCAAATAGTCTTGAGAGGCTATTGCCCTTTGTGGCTACCGGGCGTCGCTAAAACGCTTAAACTGAGTAGAATCTGCACTTCCGAATGCCCTAACGGAGAGAGTCCGTTCGTCAGACCCAAAACAATGACCGGATTTTATAACAGAAATAAGGAAAAGGTCGGATCTTTCATAGAACCTTCGGTTTTTACGACGCGCAAACGATATTTGCAAAAACTGCAATTTTTGATACATGAGTTACTTTCTTGTCTTTTATGTAATGTAAAAGTGGAAGGAATAAAATAAGATAAGCTCGAGTAAGTAAATCTCTCTCTATATACCACGAGCCTTTGGGCTAATTAAACTCACACACCTACGTTTCGATTCTGATTGGAATCATTCAGTGCTAGAATTTCGTCGTTGAAGTTTTTTGGCTTCTTCATCTTTGAGTTGCTCAATACAGGTTTTCGAGATACAGGGTGTCAAAGTTTAAAATCCATTTTCCAATTTTTACCTTTTCAAATTTGGCAGGTTTGTTTGTGATAACAAAAGGTATCGTTTGACTGTAATATGACTTGCTTAATCTGAAAAAAAAATATCAAAGTTATAGAAAAATAGTGACGTGCCATTTTTTTTCTACTTTTACCTGATAAGAATAGATTAGATTGCGTTAGGGGCGTTTAGGTGATGGACCTCTCTACACTGCGACCTGAATAGATCTATCATGCTATTATTCATTTCGCGAATCTCATTATTTTCCCGGGATTGGTTCGTTTAACATCCGCAGCTGTCAGATGTGTCTGCTCCAGATGAATAAGTCTTCTGTGACATAACGCTTCGCATTTGCAGAGTCTGATTCAGCTTTACCCATCTTTTTCAGGTGGTAGCCAAGAGGGCAGTGGCTGGTGAGAAGACTCAAGTCGGGTTTGCTGAGTTCGAGTAGTTCTTTTGCCTTTGTTGACTTTGACGAGATGAATTGCTTCGCCTGTCTAAGTCCTGGAGTATTGTTCCAATGGGAGGCCTGTTGTGCCTCTACCCACTTTTTGATTTCGGTCCTTACATGGCTTTTCGTCAGGCCAAAGAAGGGTTCTGGACCAAGGAATGGTGACGCGGCACCTTCTCTTGCAGGCCGGTCCGCTATTCCATTTCCTTCTATATTTTGGTGCCCTGGTACCCATCCTAGAGTGGCTCTATTGAGGTTCGCTAGTTGCTTTAGAAGTTGCTGACAGACCCATACTAGTCTGAATTTAGTGACAAAGCTGTTAAAAGCTCTAAATGCTGCCTGACTGTCAGAATTGATGAAGATTCTTGCACCTATTTCAAGATACTTTCTGGCGCAGAGTTGTATTGCGTACGTTTCTGCTTGGAATATGGTAGGGTTTTTTCCTAAGGCTACCGATAGCCTGCATTTTCGGCCATATAGGCCCACTCCGTCCCCTTATTCTGTTTTCGATCCATCTGTGTACCAGATGGATGAACCGTTTGGGAATTTATGTACGATCTTGTCACTTTTGCGGCCTTCTGCGGTCACGCTGAATGGGTGATTAAATTCGTATCTGGATGGCATGATGTCAACCGGTTTTGTTGGTGTACCATGGCATTCTTTTATGACGCTCATATGTCCAACAAGGTCCCCTTCTTTTAAGTTTAGAGACCGTATAACCCTTGAGGCTCCCATGTAGGCCTTCCTCCTCACTACAATGCTCAGAGGAATGATATCTAACATGACCTCTATAGCAGCGGTTGGACAAGTGTTCATGGCACCTGTTATTCCAAGACATGCATACCTTTGTTCAACTGCCAATCGGTTTTGACCTGTCTGCTGCTTCACTTTTGGCCACCACACCAATGCAGCATATGTGACCAGGGGCCTTATTGTCATCGTATATAACCAATAGATAATTTTTAGCTTTAGGCCCCATGTTTTACTGAATAATCTTTGGCATGTTCAGTACGCAACTGTCGCTCGATCGATTATTCTTTTTAAATGTGAGTTCGAGGTGAGCTTTTGATCTAGGACAACGCCCAGATATTTGACTTCACTTGAAAACCCTATTTGTATTCCATCCAGTGTTGGAGCTATTAAGCTGAGTTTCCTTTTCTTTTTCCTTACCAACGTAGTTGCCCTCTAGGACGCTTCTGGAATAATAGCGGTAAATTTAATTGAGTCAAAAGGTACCTTTTGCTATTACAATCAAATCTGCCAAGTTTAAAAGAAATTCGGGAAACGAATTTCGAAAAACTGATTTTATCAAGCTTTGACACCCTGTATCTCGAAAACTAAGCATTTTCGGACCTATGTTTCTATTACCTTATTCCTTATTTTAATGAGTAGGTACTAATTATCCTAGAAGTTTGATCCCACTATTCATTAACACCCTGTCTATAATTTGTAACACTCGAATAATTTTAAGCTTTTATTTTTTTTCTTCTTTTGTTGAAAGAGCAGTTATCTTTTCCGCTCCTATAAGCAGGTTCACACACTTCCTTGTTACAATCCTAGTCATTTGAAGTCCGCTACACGGAAGAAAAAGGACGATTTCTGAAGGGAGAAATGAAGCAAAATGCTTAGCTGACTTACTAAATAGCCTAGAAATACTAAATAGCCTATTGACCAGACTAAAGACAACATGTAATGCGGAGGAGTTGTGTTTGTCCACGTACAGGGCGAGGCGGTTGCATTCTTTCGATCCTTAAATGTGGCGGACTTTACATCCATATAGATTCAATTGCAAGAACCATATTTCTATTTCCCAATGGATAGCATCGGAGCGTAGGCGTGATTAAAATAAATTACTAAAAAGTATAGTTCGAAGGCTCGTGATGACAACCCCTCTGAAACAATCTGTTGAGCTTGAACTTGAAATGAAAAGATTGATATCGGTGATTACTTTTTCAGAAAATTTGTTTTTATTATTACAAAAATATTTGATAGCAAGGATAGTTAGGTACTCAACTATTCCATTTCTTTTTTTTATCGGAAAATTTCCCTAATCGACATGCCATAATTTACATAAAAAAGTACTCCAATTCCTGGGAAACTGGAAATCAGTAAATTTAAAACCGTTGCCAAAAATGACTTTATGATCTAGAAAAGAAACGGTTGCAGCAAAAATATAAATGTGGGTTGAAAAAAGATGTTCTATGAGTTAAAAAAAAAAAAAAAAAACACTTTGTTTGTACCTAACAAATTCCTCATTTAGGTATTGAGGTTTTGTTAGCCTTTTCAAGCTTACAGCTTGTTTTCGTATGAATTTGGTAAATTGGGATACATCAGATATAGGAAGGATATTGAAGTATTTTGCAAAATGTATAGGGTGAAACGGAATCGCGCCGCCGCATTATCTTTTCAGGATCGAAGCGCGCCTGAACATCCCTTCTTGTATTTTGAAGCTCTTACCGCCACAGATTTGCCTGTTTGCCTCGCTTAGTTTGAAACTCGTCAACCCCCAAGCCGGTCGGCCCAGGCTCCCCGAGCGTTTACGACAGAAGCGCGATTTTTAAAACTTTCGTTTAACCATGAAACTTTTTCACTTAAGTTAAAATTGAATTTTAAATTTGAAGTTTCGTTACCATGTAACAAAGGGCCAAAATAAGTTCGAGGATGAAATTAAAATTTACACCGCTATTGTTACTTATTAACCTTCTGTCTGCGGAATTTATTAGAGAAGAGTTTGAGATAAGGCATAGAAGATCTCGCCTTATCAGGCATAGAAGGCATAAAAATGGTGGTGATAAAAAAATCAAACAATTTTCTACTGACAAGACAACTACTTATGAAGATAATGTTACAGTTTCCACTATAAGTGATGAACTTTTTGTACAAATACCAGCATTAGAAACAGTAAGCGAAGGAACTGAATTTGATCTTTTAAATATTACTTTAAATGCAGATATTGCCATAAATTATGAAAATGAAATTGATAAAATACTTCTATTTTCCAAGGATAATTCTAGAGATATTAATCTAGACAGTCCGCAAGTAAATCGAACAGAATCACAAGGGATAAATAAAACTTACATGGAGGAAGTCAGAAAACGTCCAGAAAATAGTAGCCGAGCAATAAACGGGGATGTTGATATAGTTTCGCATTTCTTACGAATAGTCGAATCCCAACATTTGTTGGGAGACAACTGCACTGCTGGGACGAATTTGACTCTTCGGGAAGGGGTTGTTGATCGGTATGCTCAAGAGAGATTTCGTGTTGAAGCCGATGTTGCTGTAAATAAAGCTAATATGCTGACTCGTCTTTGGAAGTACGCTGACCCAGAAGTTGTTCACTCTGAGTATTTTTTGTATGCTTCGGTGTTTTCTATGGTCGAATTTGATGATGTTATTTTTGCCGCCGGAAATTGCTATGACCAGCATCAATATAAAGACTATTCGCTTTTTTGTCCGTATGCCTACCGTTTACCCGAAGGACAAATTCTAGTTAAAGACCTCGCTGTTGAATATGATTATATGGGTAATTCTTCAGAATGGTTCTTTAGGGCGCGTAAGAAAGCTGCAAACGTGGTGAAACACTACAACCAATTTAGTAGAGGTAAGTGCTGATATACCAAAAAAATAATAAAGGGCACGGTTTTATGTTCAACCGTATAGTATAGGAATATCAAAATAAATTAATATTATTTATTTTAAATAATAGATTACAAATAATAATTTTGTTGCCGAGGATACAGAAATTTATTACTTGACAAATATATCAAGTACTTCAAAATAAAAGGCTTGAACAAATGAAAAACATATCTAATAATATCTATTGTTTGGAATATGCTTGCAATGTTCTTTCCATGAGCGCTTCATAAAACGAAAAAAAACTTACGCTTTGTTATAGTCTCAAAATCACAATAAATGATCTCCATTTTGAACATAATTTTGAATAGCCCTCAAATTGTTACAAGATAAGCAAATGACTGGATATCGCCTCATTATGATATCGAAATAAAAATCTACCTTGGTAAGTTTAATTATTGTCCCTTGTGATTCCTCACAATAATTTATTATGAGGCATGGGCGTCGTTTGGGGTGGGGGGGCAAGGGGGGCATTTGCCCCCCCCTAGAAATAGTATTTTGAACAAGAAAACAGTAAAAGAGAGTTCGTATTCGTATTGCTTATTTCCATTTTTTCAAAATTTGTTAGGTACTTTGAAAAATTGGCTGACATTTTCATTACATTCAACGGAATTGAATTTCACTTGACTTAGGGCCGGTACTATAAAACGCTGATCCGATGGTAGAGTCCCAACCTTCGGTTGAATCCTATTAATTTGCATGGAGTCAACCCAAGGTTGAAACTCAATCATCGATTTTATAATACCGGCCATTAGAAAATTACCTAAACAAATGCAGTGGTGACGCCAGGGTTCTATGTTAGGGGGGGGGGGGGAGCAGACTGGGCCAGAAAAATTAAGGGGGGGCATTTGTTTTTATTTTACTGCTTTTCTTCTTTGGAATAAAAAATGGGAAGTACCTGTCGACACTATTATGTTTGAGGTAATCCCAGGAAACCGAAAGCAGCATCGTAGTTGCCTGTGCCCAAGAACACTCAACCTAATAGGACTGCTTCTTGAGCTGAAAATGTCTGCCATCTCAGCCGAACATCTCAACACTTGGCGTAAAATGCATTAGCCGAGTTTAAAACAGTCACAGGTCACAGTAATCGTTATAATCTTGTTAAAATCACCTTTTCTACATTTAAAATTGACGAAAAAACAAGCACTACCTGAATCGCAAGCATCCCATCGAGGCCTGCGGGTAACGTCATCATTATAAGCTGTTATGCTGCTAATTAGTAGTGACGTCACTCGCAGGCCTTGTCGACTCGAGAGTTGACGAACGTACGCCTTATGAGGATGAGAATTCCTGTTAGTTTACGATTCTTGGCCTGCGCTCACCGAATACCGAATTAACCGACAGAGGCTGCTGATGTTACATTGCATTGTTGCCGACATGAGAGCAAGTTTTCAGGGGGGGCGGCTAAATTTCATTGGCGGCCCCGGCCTCCTCCGGCCCTCCCCTGGCGTCGCCACTGAACTAATGATGCGGACAGTGAATTTGTTGCGGAAAAAAATACCATCATTTTTAACTAAATATCAAAATATCGATATCAACTAAGTACCTTAAAATGCTCAAAAAGGGGCGTGGCACTAAAAAAAATTAGCCTACGGCGGTTGCCTGCGGCGCTAATGGAAATGGTCTTATTATAATACTGCCCCCCCCCCTGAAAAACCTCGTAACGACGCCCATGTTATGAGGATATTATTTTGCGTGCCTAAAGTCAGGTTGACAAGGTCCAAATGTACTTGGAACAAGAACCCTTGAACACTGCGCGCGCCTGGCTTGGAAGATATTTGAATCGCATCAACTGTTTATCCAAGTGCAGCTGGATAGGTCGTATTATCCAAGTAAGTAGGCTGGCAACTTACATGGTCCAAGTTGTCATCCAAGTGCACTTGGACCGTGTCAACCGGGCTTAGTTGATGCGATCCAAGAATCGTCCAAGTGCGGCCAAGGTTACTTGATCCAAGTACAGTTGGACCGTGTCAACTTGGCTTAACTAGAGCGAGATTAATCGTTAGTTGAGTCCCTGCTATAGCAAACAATAACCGCAGATGGAGGCACACAAAAACAATAGGGCGATTTGACGTTCTGTCAATTTAATATGGCGCCGTGGGCATACCAAACTTGACAACCGATAACATTCAATTCAAATTGCAATCAATTGGAATTGAATTGAATGTAACTTGTTATGCCCACGTCGCCATCTTGAATTATCAGCTGGTTTGAATTGTCTATCATTTTGACATTGACACAATCTAAGGTTTTTGTTTACTAACAAGGACTAAAATAACGATTGAGCTTGTCGCACTAAGAAATAAAAAACCTCCTTACGTCATTAGTATAATGAAAAAAGTAAGGTAGTATTGGTAAGTTATTACCTCAGTGTCACTTAATGTCCATTATTCATTTAGTATACCTAATAATACTGAGAAATAAAACTTAATGGCTGCAATTCTTAGACCTTATGGGCGTGATTGAAAATCTTGAAATTTGTCAAAAATTGAAAGAGTATTTAGATGCCTAATGTATCATTTTTGTTTTTGCGGTCAACAACGTCAAGAGCCGTTTTTTTGCAGATATTCTAGCTTCCCATTGGTAGGACAAAGAGAATGCTAGGCTAAAAAAGCTACCATGGTGAATACAATTTAACCTACAAAAAGTGCTGGTTTAAAGTTAAATCACGCCTCAGGTAGACGCAAAGCTAGTTAGATATTTATAAGTAAGATGACAAAGACTTGGACGCTAATCGTATTTTAATAAATTATGTATTATAACATATTAACGGACACCTGTTGGCTAAAATAATGCCCCAAGGCAATCCAGCTCAGTGTTAATTGGCTGGAATCTTGCCGCTGTGTAATTAGCTCTAAATAAATAAAATTAAACTTCGCTAAATAGCTTTGTAGTTTTAGTAAAATTGCCAAACGACATCTAAGTTTCGAAGCCATTTTTCTCTTCGTACATTATATAAATTTAGCTTATATAGGGAAAATATACGCAAAAGGTTATTGAAGGTTTATCTTTCTGCACATCCCTTCAAATGACATATTCTCTGTGAAAATCTTTCCGTTGAAACTGACTATCCCGGGGCTAATAAATGAAATAGCCAATTTACCCTAACTGGATCCCTGAAATCATTTGAGATTATATTTTTGGCTTTCACGTGTTTGACCTTAGAGTATTTCCTAAATTCAAACGCCGTTCTTTGGCCCTTCATATCTCTATTGCTTATTACATGTAAACAGCTAAAATCTCAATTTTGGTCCATCCCTCTTTTGCTTTGCAAGATACGATCTAAAAGCTGTTTGTTTATTCTAAAAATTTGATATTGCACTCTAGACAGAATTTGGCATACTGACTAGGAATAGACATACTTTTTTTTTCTATGAATGAAATTTAATGACATACAGAGGATTTAGGAAGCAGATTTGGATTTTCATCACATTATTTTTTGATAGAAAATGTGTATTTTTGAGAATCATATTTTCAAAGTCAATTTTCTCAAAAGTAGAATTTCAGTCACAGACTTAGCCCATTTTTCAACCAAAGGTTGATATCCCTGACTTTATAATTAGATTATAGTTTGCATTGAAGTCATTACAGCTTGTTTCAGCAGCTCAAGCCTGCTACCTTTCTAAATATTTTGTGCGAGACTCTGCTTCTAGTTGGTGTCCAAGATCTGTAGGCTTCTCCCAAAGGATGCCAGCTTCCTGGGTGGTAAAGTGATCACTTATTGGGGTATTAGCCGTACCCCTTCAAGGTATTTCAGCCTTTTGCAGAAGTGAGCAGGGTATTCACAGTTAGTTGTTCAGATATCTTTGCTGAGATGGATATGAACCATTATGCCTGTCTCAGACCCGGAATGCATCTCCAATGAGCTAGGAGACGTGGCTTTTCATTATGCACCCACATCAGGGCACAGATGTTTATGGCCAGTACTTTAGCTTGAAATATTGTGGGCGTTTTAGCCATTGCCGAGAAGAGTTGGTTCCAGTTATTCACAGACCGACCTTCCGTTAACTTCGAAGCATCTGTGTACTTGACAATGATGGGTTGTCCGCTTGCGGTAGCTTTGCGTTCTTCCATGATTAACGTTTTTCTACAACCACTTCATACGGAATGTCAAAGTCCAGTGATGTTATCATAATAATGATCTGTTGGTTTTTTTTGGCACTCGAGCTTCATAGATTGGAGGATGCGTAAGTGGCCATTCAGATTATCAGGTTTGAATCTTTTTGATTGAAATAGCATCTATTCTTGCCTCTTTTTCTACATAGGTAGTGCGTCTAAGGCTGCGATGAAGCAGGTTGGCATAGTCACTGTTATTCCTAGACATAGACAGATTAGCTAGGTATTAGATTAGGTAGGTATTAGATAGGGGTTAGATTAGATTAGGTACTTTGGGTAGACTGTCCTGTGCAGTAATTAGTAATTTGCTAAATCTTTGGCCACCATGCCAACGAAGCGTAGGTGACAATGGGTCTGACAATCCAATGTACTATTTGGGTCCTATTCCCCCACTTTTGAATTCACATTAACAACAATTTTTATCTGAAAATGTTCCCAAATTTCCACAAATACTTCACCCCTGGCTCATTTTGCAATTTTCTATTTACTTTTATTGTCCTTGTCATAACAGGGATATATTTATGCAATAAAACTAAGAAGGTAAAATATATTTATTCACTTCCTGAATAGAAAAGTTGCGATAACAACTAAAATTTTAATTGGGACTTTTTGTCCTGATGGTATGATAAAGCAAAGAAACTGGTATTGTCGTTCTCTCTGTAAAATGTTATTATTTTGCTGCAAATCGGTACAAAATTCAAAAATAGAAGACGCTTGATTATGCAACAATATTTTCCCAGGGGTTTTCCTCGTGCAACGGAAAATCAAGTGAGCGTTTTTTTATTACACGAGCTGATAGCTTTTTTTTAAATTTTTGCAGAAGCAATTTCATTCTTATTTTTAAAACATTGA